CCTCCTCCTCCTCCTCCTCTTGCCCTCTCCAACAATTGTGATCTCTCTGTTATTTGTGTTAACGCGGTGATCATGAGGAGCCACAGTGCATGTGCCCTCCACGTTTCCCGGCTGTAGCTCACCCGGCCGAAGCGCGTCCCTGCTCCATCCCTCCCGTGCGTCCGAGAGAGGCGAGTAGCGGCGGCGGAGCGAGCGGCAGCCCCCGGCGCAGTCGAGCACCACATTTCTTTTTGTCTGTGCGCTCCGCAGGCTTCGGGCTTCGGACTGTGGGCTTTGAGGCTTCGCATCCTCTCAGCTGCCGGCTTGGCGTAGTCGTATGAAGGAGAGAAGGAACAGCGGAGGAAGAAAAACAAAGCTCTCCATGTCTGATGTTTGAAACTGCACCGACAGTCGGATATTTAGTCTGATTTTTGTCTCTTTTCTGCGAGCTTTTTTGTTAGTTTTTAACACCATGGAGTCGGTGGAGAAGGAGTGCGGAGCGCTGGGTGGATTATTCCAGGCCATCGTGAACGACATGAAGGTAACGCACATTGAAATGAAAGTACAGCGGGTTATAATATCTGACCTTCTGTGGTTGCACGGTGGCCGATCAGACGAATATTTTTACTGCCTTTGTCTCTTTCACCGGGTCCTCCCCCACTGGAAACACCGCTGCAGGACAGAGAGATGAAACATGTTCCCCTTTGTGTTATTTGCATAATGTGCAGCAGGTCTGTCAGGCACTGGGTACGTCTAACAGTACTCAGCCACTGAGTCAATCTGTGTGCTATTACTAGGACTGCCTGCATGGAAGTATGGAGGTGTAAAATCTTTATTTTGTTCAAAGCTAGGCTGCTTGGTGCTGGCTTAAGTGTTTGGTTCAGAGGTCAGAACCTAAACTCCTCATTATTAGAACCAAATTGCAAAAGCCAAGGCAAAAGAAGGGAAAAGAGCTATCAAAATAGGAAGATAATTAGAATTTTGTGCAGTTATTGCAGCACAAAATGTTCTAGGTGCCATTTGACCCCAGACAAGTGTTCCTCCTTTATCGCAGCCTCCAAGGCTTTTCCAGATTAAATGTCAGGCACAGAAGGATGCTCTGAAAGAAAATAGCCGGCTCTATTGCCTCAACCTCCAGGACAGAAACTGGCATGAAATGTTATTGATTGTGCTTCCTGATGTTTGGCCTTGTGGCAGGAAATCTCTACTTCAGCAATATGTAGTTCAATACACATTTGATCCAGGCCCTACTTCAGTAATTGAATTGACTCACGTTGCATCTCATTTGTATATAAAACATGAGTTCTCCTCCTGTCAGCATAGTTTTGAAATGATTTCCAACAGGAACTGGATGTCTCCTATTATCTTTTGCACACATGCAAGTGGTGTGTGTGTGTGTGTGTGTTTGTGAGAGAGTTGGGGGAGGGGTCAAGGAAGTTGAATCAGGGTGGTCTGTTGTTGTTCATGACAACAGATGGAAAGTGTGAACATCAGGCCCGGCAGCTCCCAGTCTCCTCATTGTGGAGGGCACTCACGCTTACAAAGTGTTAATAATGGCGAACAAGTCAAGCATCAGGCAGCACTTTCCACCTAACAGATTTCTTATTGATCCCTGGCTCAAGGGGCCGTGGTGCCTTCGGACGGACTATTTATGGACCCTCGTTTGTCAGGCTCCAATGAAATCAGCTCTCAGCTATTGGCAGCAGCGGTTTGGTTTCATATATTTCCCTTTTGTGTTGTCCTCATGCCATGGCCAGAGAGAGACACAGAGAGAGAGACAGCCTGTGTATTGATAAGCAGCGCAGATGAATGAGACCGAAGCCCTTAGTCAGCACAGTGTCGATGTCCACTGTCTGAGATCTGACCTCATTCCTGCCGCCTGGCTGGGCCATGCAAGCCTGTCAGACCAGCTTTTACCCCCCCTGGGAGCAACGCAGCAGCATGGCTTTCCTGTGCTGATCTCGCTGATTGTGAACAATGTTACAGTATAGTGCACAATTACCTACATTACACCCGTACAGTGCATTAAGTAAACTTAGAAAAAAAGGCTGCGCAGACAAACTGTGTTGATACAAGCTCTTGGTTATATAACTGTCTGATGAAGCTGTGAGAAAAAAAGTAGAAGAGTAGGAGGTGGCGGAAGAGGAGGTAGAGGGTGAAAAGAAATAAAATGATTCAGTTGGATTGGATCAGCAATCACGAATTAGGTCAGCAATGGATGTGAATGGCGTGTGATTTGAAGCCGCTGTGCGTGGGAAAGAAACCACCTTTTAAAAGAAAAAATGTCCTTGAGCAACACTGCCTACCAGCTCCACAGCTCCAAGGATGCTAGTTTTGACCTCACCCTCCTGTGAATGACGAGGCGTGGGAGGACAAGCCTTTCTCTCCTTCCTCTCTTGTATTTGTCTCCCCCCCTGCCCCCGCCCCCGGGAGATGATGGGTGTGGATGAAGAAGGCGCCTCCTTTGCTGCTTCGCATGTAGCCCCCTTTGCCCGCTTCTTCACCCTCCTCCTCAGCTGTCTCGGCAGCGCATCCTTCCTACCCCCGGGAGTCACAGGCCACACAAGCTAATTAGACACCTGTTGGAATCAAGTGCAGACAGCGAGGCTGGGAGGGTCGTGGCAAACGGTTTTGTTGATGATCAGAGAGAGAAGCTGGGAGTTCAACACTGCCATAGCTAGGATGCAGGTTACACCAGAAATGATGAAGAGCAAGACTGTTTCCAGATTGTGTATATATATATATGTGTGGCCTCTTCATCAAAGAGGCGCATAGGGGTTATGCCCTTCCTCTCCTTTCTCAAGGGCTCAAGCTCTTGCTCTAATGGGATCTAGCCTTGAATGTCTTTTATGTTTGGCTTCTGCTCTTATAGCTCAAGGCAGCGTGTGATGATCCCAGGGAAAATCTGATCCACATTTCTCAAAGACTAGTCATACTACCTGGCCTACCCCATGCGCATAAACACTGGTGATACAAGAGCTTATGCAGATCATGCTGGTACAGCGGACATATAAACACGAGGACACTTTTTAAGAGAACGTGAGAGGAGGGCGTTGAGGCTGATGAAGGACAATAATAACATGGGTGTGAACTGAGAAATCACGCTGACCTTTTTAAAGACAAGTCAGAGCATGGAGCTTATACAGCGACTTGTTTCTAACCCCGAGGGAAGACGCCAAGCTCTCTTTGAGTCAATGTAACCATATTTGGATTTCAGTGTAGTATCTGTTCAGTGTGAATAAAGGAGAAAAGACAGCAAATTGAAATGTTATTAAGCTGTACTAGACTCTATCCTGTTGTAGAGAACACTATGTCTGCTTGTGTTATGCTTATGTGCTTAAATGTCCTTGGTGAGGTATTTATTTGTCTCCTTTCTCTTCCTTTCTTCTCTTCCCTTCTTAGAGCTCTTACCCTGTGTGGGAAGATTTCAGTGCCAAGGCCACAAAACTGCACTCTCAACTCAGGTGAGAAATAGTCCCAGTGAATGGTAAACCTTGATGAAAAAAAGAGTGCAATATTTACACTGAGACTTTTTTTATGCAGTCACGGTGCAGTGAACATGTGCCGATATATTTTACAGGACTACAATTCTGGCAGCAGTGGCCTTTTTAGATGCCTTTCAGAAAGTGGCGGACATGGCTACCAACTCTAGAGGTAAGAGGATGTTTTTTCAATTCATCCAAGCTCTCGCACTGTGTTGAGTTAAAACTCTGACAGAACAAAAAAATAACTTTTGCCACCTTTTTTTTAAGAAATCGATTTGTTGTCTTCACGGAGTGTTGCGCACTGCTTATTTGTGTCTTGCTGAAAGTGTTCGCTTACTTTAAAGCGATGCTAGTGCGGCTCTTTATTATGGTTGAGGTACTCTACCATGCTTTGTGTTGTGCAGTGTAATGCTCTCAGTAATACAATATTATCTGCACTTGCAGACTGTGTAGAGTTACAGGTTACAGCGTTTATGGAAAGAAATGGACTATTCTTCCAACATGAACATGTGATTGTGCACGCCACACATCTTGAAAGACCAATTTCACCACACACACAAACATTTCTGATACAAGACACAATTCTGACTCTCTAAGATGGCCAAAGTGGGGGTACTCTGGGGGGCCAGGCGTCTTAGAGAAGTGAAAATCTGAGCTTATTGTTTCTTCGGTCTTAATGAGGTCTGCTGATCTGCTTTGTCACCCTGCTAGTGGCAGCAGACAGGCTGGCCAGAGACGCAGCTGATTAACACAGATTTCTTTGGAGTTGATCGTCGAGAGCAGTATGTAGGTCAAAAAAACCCTGCAAACCCGGACTCAGTGTGCAAAGGCTCCTGACACACACACACACACAGACATTCAAAGAGTGACAGCTGGTAGCCGGCCACCTGACCTCGCAGGTCACACGCCAACAAGCTTTAAAACCGTTTGTACTAGTGCAGCCCCTTACTGACCACTTACTGCTGGAGAAAATGACTAAAGAGGCATTTGTTCAACAGTCTTCACACATTCTCACCAGTTTTACTCCTATAGTCTGTGCAGTAACAATAGAATTTATTGCCATTGCAATACATCAAGTGATCCCTGATGTGAGTGCGCATGAATTCTGCAAGATGAAGCAAGGTAGACTGGGGTCAACCTGCTCGCTGCTAGCAGCCTGCTTCAATATAGCAGAGGCATACACAATGGCAAGGCATGACATCAAAGGAAAAGTGTGTCTGCAGTAAAAGAGGGGAAAACAGCAGATGATAGATGGACCAGAGAGAGAAGGGCATATTGAGTTTTACAGCTATAGATGCATAAAATCCCCCTAAGTGTGTCACTCATACACCCACTCACTCTTCTGCTCCTCTCCCAGGGTCATTAACTTTAGGATTAATGTCATCCTTCTCCGGCCACAGACTGTATAAGAGATGCAAAGAGACTTTGTAACAACTAAAGAGAAACTAATGAAACATGGTTTAGATTAGTGCTGATGAACATTTGATGGCTTCAACATCTCAACTTTATCTGTTTTATGGGATAGTAAATTGGAAAGCGTTGGTTAGTAATGCTAGTGGCGTGTCTCTGGTGGATGGAAATGTCGGTTTGTTGGTCGGTCATCCACTTTGTCCCAGACTTAAATATCTCTATAACACACATGAATCCTAGGAACTCTGGTGATTACCTGACTTTTCATGTAGCGCCACCTTCAGGTTTTAATTTTAATTTGTGCAATACTTTGGTTCATGACCAAAAAGTGATTCACATCAGCTTGCTATGCTGGAGTTAAATGGTTAAATAAACATAAACTGCTAACTGGACATTATTTTCAACAGTGTTTCATTGTGGTGGTGGAGTGTTGTAGTAGAAAATAATGTTCAGCCCATTAAATTTGCGCCATTAATTTGACACAAATTTAATCACTCAGTATAAGCAATACAGATTTGGTTGCAGTTTCTATTGTTTTTTGAAATTCCAACAATTATTATTTTCAGTAAGCTAAAAGAGCTTGTGCAGTTTTAATGTGCTCTTAACCAGCACTCCACTTCAATCCCGCATCTCCTGTGGGAGCTGTGTTAGCCTTTGCGTGCTCCAAACCGCAGCAATTAATTTGGCGGCGGAAGGAATGTCGATATTTACATGAGCTGGCTCGTAGTAGACTGGGATGACCTTTGAACCCCATGCTGCAGGCTCCACGGACCATAGTTTGGGCAAGTTTGCCCTTCTGGCAGCTACAATGTTAAAAGTTCTAAGCCTTTATTGGCATCCAGATGTTTCACTCTTTCCACTTGCTTTAACTCAAGACTGTTCAGGAAACAGTGGTACATAAATAGAAGTCAGAGATTACTTGCTCTCCATTTCGTAAGTCCCCATTTTTGTTTCTCTCTCTGTCTGTCTCAGTTCGTGTGTGTGTGTGTGTGTGTGTGTGTGTGGGTCTGTCTGACTGCCTGCAGCGATCATGTTTGTCTCAGCGTCTGCACTGCCATATAGGGCTGATTGCACCACAGGAGACGGGCCCTAAGCTATGAACTTTTGGCCGCCATCACTGTCACCCCGATTCCCCTCTCGTGTTGGGGGACGAGCTGCAGCTGCTGGCACAGCTGGAGGTTTCATCGCGTTCTTCTTCTGCTTCCTTTTAATCTACCTTTGACACACTCACCCCCATCACCCCTTTAACTCTCACACACACTTTCCAGACTGGACACGTTTCCCTGCCAAGGAAAGCAACGTTTTCCTTTCATTCAGTGCGTCTTGATTGGTCCACGGGGGGAGAGAGGACGGTGAATGAAAGAGGATTGAATGATTTCCTGTCCTAACATGTTTTGTTGTGTACTGGGAGGGCAGCTTTTCATATGTACCCATAACAGCTGTGTTATATTTGAGCTCACCTCCCATCTCCATCTTGTACAACCTCCTCTCTGTCTTTGCATGTTCTTGTTTCTAACTGCCTTGTGTTCAGGCTTCCTCTTGCCTGTGTTGTCCGTTTTTAGAGTTTACGGTCTCGGTCATAGCGTCAGCGTCTGTGTTTTATGAAGCAGCTGGAGGAGTCGACTGCCAGGCGTTTTGGCACAGTGTCTGACAGTGCTGTTTCTCTAAGCTGCGTCGATGGATCTATGTCTAAAGGCACGTCTGTCTCAGTGAACTGGCAGCTCGCATCTGGGTTCAATAAAGGTCCCCCTACCACAAAGTCTATATTGGATGAATGTATTTGGAGAATTTTTGCCTTTTTAATGATAAATGTTTTATGTTTCAACACCCATGTTTCCTGAGACTAAGTCTGAGGCCCTGCATCTCTCTGCACTGTTTTTTTTTGTTAGATTGGTCAGCCTAATGGTTTTTGGTGTGTTGTCTAGACCATATCTGACAGTCTATTAAGTTGTTGTCTGATGTATTTAAGAGGACCGGACTTATCTGGAGAATAGTGGGCTCTGTGTTTGGTGTTTTGTTGTTGCTAGGCTGGATGACGTGTGCTTTAGTGGAAGGTTGGCTTTATTTTTTCCATTTTTGGACATGGTTGAATTAGATGGAGGTCAAAGAGCCAGTAGTCTGGGGCTAATGGTCCATCAGGGTATGAGATACAGGGTCCATATTTTTCAGAGAGTGAGGTGAGTCTACTGGGGGGTGAGTTATCCAGGGTGGGGGTTGTGATTGCAGTGGGATTTCCACAGCTCTGGGTATCCAGGCTAGGCAGAGGCGTTTAGCTAATCCTCTTAGCCCCACTCTGTAACACACAGACACAGCCTGCCTTCCCTTCTCTTCCTGATCAGCCACCCCCAGCTTTAAAAATTCACACTCTGGGATCACCGGCCAGACTGCGACACACTGCAAGTTTGTGTTCAACACAGACGAAACCTTCCTCTCTTTGCATCTGTGCACCAGAGCCTGCAGAGTGCAGACACCATTACACACACACAGACATAATGTTCCAGCTGGTCATTCAGTGCAGGCTCTCCCTGTCGGTCTCCCTTTCTCTCACTCATAGAGTCCATACTCAGTGGAGGACTGGAGGTATGTTAGTAGATCAGTGTCTCAGCAAAGCAGTAATCTGCTTGGCCCCTGTGCTTCTCTGGGCTGGCAGATGGGACGGATATCCCTACCCGCCATCTGGACGGCCTGGCATGGATGAGATGTGGCCGTGGCCTAGTGCAGAGCGAGATCAGGGGATTACTGTCCTCTGCACTGTCCCAGCAGCGTAGCTATTTTTACGGACATGTCAAATAATGAGAGTACGCCCATGTGACCAGCACTGACATCCATCAAGCTCGACATTTCATGTTCAAGCCTGATATGAGCCTGTATAGTGCATAGAAGGACAGGGAGGTTAGAGTTGCATCTTATGTGGGTTTGACTTCATATAATAACCTTATAGATTCTGGGTGTTTTAGATTGGACATACATGTAAATGCAGTCACGTTAATAAATGCATTGGCTGATGCATTACGTACGGTCCACTGGGCCATTTTGCTGATTGTATGTTAGGCTCTTCAAGACCACCGGCCATAAAGTCACGTAAGTATCGACAAGGGCCTCTTATATCTCCTTCAGCTGTCTACCTTGTCGGCCAGAACAGTTCCCAACACAGTTCTCCATGTCTCTCTCCATAGAGTTTAGGGGCTTCAACCTCAAAACTCAATGTGGTCGCCCTGCAAATTAATGTTTTCCAGCTATTATAACAACTACAGGCAAATTGCAATGGGGAAAAGTAGCTAGAACAATGATGTGAGGAACAGACGATGAAGGGGGGAATAATAATGTGAGAGAAAACAAATCTTTTGGCTCTGCATAACTTTCATTCTGAGGCTGAATACCAAACTAAGAAGACAAACATGAGACTTGAGGGGAACACTGTGTTCAGCTATATCCTGAACACGAACTCGCCATGGCAGGGAGCCGGAGAGGGGACGGAAAAAAGAAAAAAGAGCGAGAGCCTGAAAGAGGAATGTAAGGGAGGACATTAAAAGAGGGAATGAAATGGATACATGCATAGTTTTAATCATCTGAGGTGGTTGATTGAAGACAGTTTTTTAGATGGAAGGTCAGTCCACCACTTTGATCCAGACATCCACGGTTCCCAGAGGATCTGCCTTACTTTGGTGATTTTCTCTAGCGCCACCAAGAGGTTGCCATTTTTTGCTATTAGCAAAATGTCTCAACAACTGTTTGATGGCTTGCCATGAAAGTTGGTAC